GCATCGAGAAATTGTTGGAAGAGACAAGAGTCGGGGGGGCAAAAGAGCAAATATATCATTTACATAGCGAAACCAGAGGAAGAAATAGAAGTTTCGAAGTATTTTAATAAAGGCTAGCAAGCACAGGGGACAGAGAAGAGCCCAGAGAAACGCCGAAGGTTTGAGAATAAAATTTCCCTTGAAAGGAAAAAAGTTGGCGTCCACACAAAGGTGAATAAGATCAAAAGGGCAACTGTAGATATAGGGAGATGAAGTAACCCTTCACTGGCCTTCACTCTAAGTAAATTGAGAACGTCATCAAGAGGGAGATTAGTGAAGAGGCACACAACGTCAAGACGTAGCATCTTACAGGCCATGAATGTTGCCAGAGGCAAGAGAATAAGAGGACAAAACTTCTGGAAGAAATAATGGGATGTAAAGGAATACTAGGTTTATAAGTTTTAGGAACACCATAGAAATAAGGTAGAGAGAGACATATAACACGGAAACGTTGACCAAGATCAAACTCAGGAGGACGTTGATTAGAGAGAGTCCAAAGTTTATAGTTGAAAATTCTCGTGACACGACCAAGAAGGTTGGTGAGGAGAGGAGTGTAGATGCGTTAGTTAGTGAACAAGACTTCAGCTTTTCCGAGGTAAATCTCGCTATCAAAGACAACCCCCGAATTGTCTTTGTCAGAAAGGACAACAATATTAGTATCAGATTTGAGAGAAGATAGGGAGAGTTGATAGCGACAAGGAAGGTGATACTTTTTAAACAACAGGCTATTAAGGGCAGGAATAATAGCACAACGAAAAATGGTGTACAAATGTATACATCTTAAAATGTAAAAACGTAAAATGTAAAATGTATAAAACTACAAAAGCTGTAAAAATTTAAAAAAAAAAAAAAAATAAAATGTCGAAAAAATTATAATATAAAATGTAATAAGGAAGAAGGCAAACCACGTCACTAAGTTTACTGAACGATCGTTCTTCAGTATTTTCGTGAATTTCCCAATGAACTTATTTCCATTATTTTACACGAATTTATAGCCTAGATAGAGGTGTTTTATCCTTCAGGAAACAGAACAAGTGAGTCCTGACGACTGTCCTAGACACATGATCAACCCGCTAACTGGAGCTGTCTCCATACACCTCCACTCCTCCCAGGATCGAACCGGGTCTTTCAT